ATTTATTAAAATAGATAAATTAGGTTCGGACAAACGAGCTTCGGACAATCGGAGCCGTCTCCATGAGCTTAAGGGAATGCTGTTGGGAAGCAAGCACATGCCAGTACTATGAATTACAATGCCTCACAGGTGGACACAACAACCCCAAGGAAATAAAAATGCTCTGTAAACTTTAAAACTGTAACTTTATTACAAACGGCACAATATTATATTGTTTATTTATAGGCATCACCAATCATGTTCACAAAATAATACGGTCAAGCAATACATTGAACAAACACTACGTAGTAGTACATAGTACAGAGACCAACAAATCCAAAACCTCTGGGTCTGGGAAGCTAGGTAATCAACGTTCATTTAGTCTAAAAATGCAACAAAGCCCCATTGAACATTACACAAAAGCTAAACTAAACAAATGTACTTCAAAACTAGAAATAAAATCAAACAGAAATCACAAATGTGTGACTATAATGGTTTGTTTATAACTTGGTCTTTATTCTTATATTAATGAAGGACTGGATGGAATGCGATTTTGCATTTGTACATGTAAAGGAAAATACTTTGAGGTACCATTGAATGGTAAGTGCATAATCAAGAAAAGTGAGAATTTTGAGAAATTCTGCAGTTATATAATAGAATTTCGCTGAAAACATTTATGACTTTTACAAGTGGATATATAAAAAAGACTAACACACTTTTCTCTCCACATTTCTGTCTTACATTTAAACAGAACCAATTGGTGAAATACAAACAAGCTTGCACCAGAGAACCTAGACATTAAGTAATCATGATGAAAGATTCAAATTATGCTTTCATTTTTCAAAACAACAATATGTACACAAATATGATCATCTGCATGCAATTTTAGTTATAATTCATAATGTACTGAATTAAAACTGCATAAGAGATCTGTATATAATATTTACTACATCCATATCTTAAGTACGGTGCAGTTTACTGCACTTGAATGAAATGTGGACAGAGTTTAAGCATAAATTTCATGAGCAGTTGGAAAAAAGTATTATTAGTATAACAGTACTATGAAATATTTGGAACGGATTGATAAACATCACAAAGAAAAAAAAAAAGAACAGCCTCAGGCTTTAAAACATTTTCTAGTTTACTTGAAATGAGTTTACTTTAAGGAGCTTGTAAGTGGAAAGAAAGCTGTATCAAAGAAACTTCAACAGAAATACATCAGTAAGAGGTACCCAGCTCACAATCACAATTATGATCATTTAAAAGTCATCCGTGCAGCTGTTACTGCTATCAATAGCAAGTTATTTTGATCAAGGTATCATTCTGATGCCAAGACTAAATTGTTAGTAATACCATGTCATTCAGATGACTTCTATTTCTGACTGGGATCCAAAGATATATTTGACTAATCTCTCTTTTACAGGAAAAAAATGTTCTGAAGACTACACGATTATTTACACTTCTTATAAAGTGTTTCTAAAACATGTGGGAAGGATGGACGGCAACTTTAACAAAATAGGTACAAACATTTTGTACAACTAAACAATGTTCCCAATACTGAACAGGGTTGTCCCAACATGAGTGCATACTCACAGAAAGTTAACACAAATTCAATAATAATACAGAATACTTAATAACAATGGGAACTTAAATTTCCCTTTACAAATTGACAGAGCATAAGATACATAATAAACTTAAATACCTTTGAAATCATAAAAAGCCAACTGGCATGTAAGAAACTACAAAGCATGGTAAAAATATCATTCAATTTCTGTTACACTTTGACTCTAATAGAACAATGCTCTAATGGGATCTAGAAAACCTAGAACTTATAGTAATTCAAACAAATGTCTGGGTGTAGAAACAGACCAGATATAGTATACCAGATAGCTGACTTTAAGTGCCGCCTTAACCAGGCAACTGTAATTCTGTGTAACACAAAGCCTTATGTGTTCCCACTCTTTTTTGTCCCTGAATGCTGACTAGTGTTACACTTATGCAACATGACCAGCATAAAAATCATGGAAATGTTCTTTAAAGACTAAGCTTTCAATCAATTACTAAATTATAACTTTGAGACTATAAAATCTTAATCACAATGCTGAAGGTACCATTGCTGTTCAATACATTTTAGGATCTGTAAAAGTGGCTCAGAAAATGTTCATGATTGAATAGTTTGATGCAGTTCTTACCTCACCAACACAAAATATTAAAAACAACGCCATTATCACATTTGTAAGTACAATTGCTACTTCAATTCCTTCCCAGTACCTATAAAACCTAGTGCCCACACCATACCAAAATTATTGCAATGCTTATGCAATTTGGAATTGATGGTTAATGGCACTTTTGATAAAATTCTATTTATAACAACTAGTGTAAAAATTAAACATAAATAAACTTTGACACAAGTTACATTGACAATGTAACTGAAGATTAAAAGAGAAAAAAGAACAACAAAAGGATACCTTAAAAAAAAAAAAAAAAAGAACCATCACACAAGGTAGCGTCAGAACGTTCTCACTAAGCCATAGCCTTAATACATTTTTAATGTCTTGTAAGGGACATTGTAATACAAATAATCTCTCACATGAAGACTACCTTTATACACTGAAAAAGCAAAAGCACCCCTATCCATGAAAAACTGTCTAATCTTGTAACCTATGAACACTTTGACAGAAACAGTGATGTCAAAGGTTAAAAAATAAGAAAGCTTATAAATCTGGAGGAAAGCCATATACACCTTGGTTAACTATGGGAAATTTTTTGTGTGTCTAATCAATGAAGATTTAGATTTAGCTTTGAGTAGCACACTGCACAGCCCTACACTCTTGGCAGCAAGGTATGAATTACATGCTTACCTTTAAACAACAATAACATTTTCTTTAAATACACATGTGCTGTCACAAATTTTTGAAATTTCTCTCTCTACAATTACAAAATCTAACAATGTTATGGTACAAGTTATAGTACAAGTAAGCTCTGAAAAGCAATCCTGGACGGCCTTTTAAAAATTATATGGTTTTGGTACAATTCAGCTTCTTTGTTATTGTTTAACTAATGTTAATCTCAATTCATATTGTTGCTATTCAACCCACAACCAGTGTACTAAACAAAGGACTCTTCAATAGGCTGAAGAAATGTATGTACACATTCCACATTCCATAATGAAATTTCTAAACTGCGTTTTTTACATGGCTTGTTTGAAAATATATGGCTATCATGGATTATTTACAATTCATGTAAAATAATTGAATGCTCAGTCACTTCTTTGCATTTTTACATATTTTCCCTAGAATTCTCTTCTATCTGTAAACATTTATTTCAATTTCTGCAATAAATTTGTTTTCAAAATTTTACATTAAACGCCAGAAAGCAACTCTAATATCTCTGTTGAAATTCATGGTGCCATCTGTTGAAATCTATATGGAATACCACTATTGAGCCTGTTGCAAGTCCAGCAAGCAAAAACCTGCAAAGATAATGAGCAAAATCAGTTAGATCATTAGTCTTTAGTCACAACATGTAAATACTGTAGGATGATTAAATTTAGACGGTAAATTTATTAAACTTACTTCTGATCATGAGATAAGGCTAATGACCGGACGCTACTGTCACAAGCTGGAAAAGCGTAAAGTAGAGCAAGATTGAAGGTTCGCCATACTTCAACAATACCTTTATCTCCTCCAGTCATAACATATTCTCCATCACGGCTTAGTAATAAACACTGCAAAGACAAATAGTTTTCATCAATATAGCAGACCATATACTTGTAAGAAGATGCCTTATGATGACAAGATTTAGTAATTTGATAAACAGTAGTTATGTAGCAAAATAAAATTGAAAACCAACCTGTAAGTTATCATTATGTGCTTCATGTCGTAACCTTTTACCATTTATGGTAAAGGCTGCCACATGTCCTCGTTCATAGTTTACAACAATGACACCCTCCCTGGACATAGCTATATTTTCAGGAGATCGGAACCCTGAGGGAGGTTCCAAGCTTCGTAGAAGATCACCAAATGTTGTGTGCACCAGAACAGGCCCATCTGGAAAGTAAGTGGAAATTACAAAGACCTATAGTACAGCTTTCACAAGAAGCAAAATTCAAATCTTAAAATAAAACATACTTTGGCTGCCAGACACAACGAGACCCAATTCAGCTGAAATTACCACACTAGATATGGGTTGGTCATGACCTGTCAGTGTTGCTCTTGGAGTTGGTGTTTCCCCACTACCGCCGCCTTCTCCCACAACTGTTTGAGTACGTGCATTCCAGTGCCACAAAAGAACTGTGCAATCAGCGGACCCTGATGCAATGTAACAATCAGAAGTAATATTGCATTCTGATCTTGAAAGACAGGTGACAACCCCATAGTGACCAAATACAATCTGCACAATTTTAGCTGTAAAAAAACAAAAGCAAATAGTTTAGAAATTGAAAATAGAAATTAAAGTTACAGTTTCAAAAATAAAAATATGATAATTTTACCTGTTTCAGTTGAAAACACTCGAAAGCTATTGTCCCAAAAACCACAGGCAACGAGAAATCGGCTATCTACAGTTGTTACAAAGCAATTAGAACGCACACGCAACTTTTGGCTAAAGTTATCCCCAAGGTGTCGCCTAAGCGATGCAGAGTTGTTACTGTTGTTGTTTCCTTGTACTGTACAGAAAAGAAAAATGTGATAGCAAGGTTTTAAATTTAAAAGAGACATTTTTTTTTTTTAAAAAGAACAAAAGTACATACAAAGAACAGGATCCATTGACAGTGGTAGGTTGGCAGATGGAGTGTGAGGGGCATCTGCATAGCTTGGTGACTGGACTGATGCTAAAAGGAAAGATGCAAAGATTTTTAGTTAGTTATTGATTATTTAATCATAAGAATGCACACCCAAATAGTCCTTTATTATATACCTGCATAACTAGAATTCCATCGGTTCAAAGCAAACTGCTGGTTTGTTGTGACACTGACCACAGATGGAAGTGGCAACTGTGGATATGTGTTTGCTGATATATGACAGATAGCTGCATTTGAAGGAAACTTCATGGTCATGCACACATCTTCAGGTACACTGGAGAACATCATTGGTGACTGCAAAATAAATAAACATATTATTGGTGAATAATTAATTTTTTCAGGAGGGTTTTCACATGAATTGTTCCCTGAATAAAAATAAACAAAGAAATGCTTTACCAAGTGCATTGCAGAGCTGCGAGGGGGATGAGGCTCCATTAGCAGTTGAGATGGAGTCTGTCCAAAGTTTCTAATTTGGTTCTCTATCGCTTCCCTCATTACTGGGTCAGTGATAGATTCCATATCTACGCTGCCTTCATAGGTAAGATAATAGAAGACATTTGTAGCTCTGACAGCCTCTGGACCTCTTTGCTTGTATCCAAAAATAAGATCAATCCACTGATGAAGCTGACAAGACACAAATTCAGACTCTAGTGCCTGAAACATAAATTTTAAAATCAATAGTAAATTAGTTTAAAACATTGTGAGTTAAATTTGATTAAAAGGTTTGAACAATTCATTTACCATCCTATTGATGCGAACAAATTCTTCAGGGGATGATGCCCATGGTGGGAGTTCAACATCACTGACAACTGAACCATCTTCTTGAAGTCCCAAACGATATCGGTTGGAATTGACAAACATTTCGGGAAGGAAGAAGAACTCAGGTATCAGTTCCTGAAAAAACAAACACAAATAGAGCTTTTTCTATTTATGACTTAACTGGAAAAGTGGATTGCTAGTATGTGAAATAGCATTTGAAGTAAAGAAGTAATATTTAACTCAAACAACTTTGAAGAATACAAACCTTTACGTCTGATGTGTCACGCTGACAATTTTTCCAAGACAGTGCAACAGAAGAGAAAAGTCTGTTTGGATGGTCAAATTTACCACCTTGCAGAGCCAAAAACATTGTTGTCATAGGTTCCTAAAAGTATTAAGGTCACAGAATCAGTTTTAAGAAGGGTAAATCACTAAAATATTGTACGCTATTTAAGAGATGAAGATGGAATCAGAGAGAAAGCTTACCAATCTTATCATCCAATTCAAAACAAAGGCAGCTGTTGAATAATGAGTGCCATAGTGGAAAGGTGGTATACTTTCATGTTCCCACGTATTGTAGCGCTCTTCAAAGTAGTCCCTTCGACTTGGATTCAGAGCCCCAATAGGCTATAAATAAAGTTGCCAATAAGAATTAATGCTCTCAGCACACAAGGCTGCGTCGCCCCCCCCTCCCGTTTCCCCATTTTCCCCTATACTCACTTTAGATAAATCTCTGTAGTTGCTTGGTTGACTTAGGTCAAGTTCTCTTGACTCATAGTTGGTCAAAACCCAAGGGAAGACAGGATACTGGTTCAAATCGTTGTATGTTCGACCTAAACCAATTCAAAAAAGGTAATGCCAACCCCTCTTGAATAATATGTTTTACATTGCAAGAGAAATGTCAAACATGAAAAGTAAAGTAAGAATATTCTTACCGGCAATTGTGTTAAGGAACATCAGGTACTCGAAGTTGGAGACTTCCCGCCGCTGCCACTTGAGCGTCATGTTGGAGTTCCTCATGAGCTGCCTCGCAGACATCATGGAGGCGCGTCGAGTCTGAGGGATGCCATACTTGATGCCGACCCCCACTCTGGGCAGGGCCTTGATGATCTTCTTCACCGTGTTCGTGTCGGGGAAGGCGAACATGATGGAGGCTGCGAGGCGGAAGGAGAGAGAACAGTCGTCAGCCCGGTGGGTAGGCAACCTATTCTACGCGTGAGCCGTTTTGGCTGCTTCGAAAAGGAACCCTTTTAGCAGCTCGTCCACAACATCTACTACAATCTTGCCCTTCTTGACATAAGCAATACTTTACACCAACAGTGTCGGGCGTTTTTATAAAGGTCTGCAGCTTGTGGGACTGAGACACAGCGCCAACACAAACATTTCTGTAAATGCGACAGCCAAATCCCTCCGATTAGCTGACTAGGTAAGCGACGTTTTCTGAGGGCATTCCCCCTACCTTTTTTTGTGCCCTTACAGCCCATTCTTCTCAAACTTCACACCAACAAAAAATGTCGGCTTGGTCTTATTTGTTCAAGACCGAAGACTAAAAGGTGGATCCCAAAAAATGTCGGGAATGATCTTATTTGTTCAAGACCGAAGACGAAAAGGTGGATCCACCACCCCGAGTTTATTCTCAGGTGTGTTCTCAAGGACTACGAATTGAAAATGTATCTTCTAAATTGTGGCCGAACTGCTGTCAGAACTACATAGGGCACTCATCCAATCCAAAACAATATAAAAAGTTCCTTAAAATAATCTCTGTCGGTGTACTTACTACGGCTGGCAAGGAATATTTCGATGGCAGTGTTCTGGAGAAGGAAACGCCTGGAGAAGATGGCACGCACCTCGGAAAAGTACCATTTTCCGTGCAGATGGTCGCAGTACTTGAGAACCTGAAGCAAAAAGAAACAAAATGGCGTTCTTTACAGTCTGATCGGCCAGTGCGAACAGCAAGGGGTAAAGGTGAACACAGTGAACATCCATCGAGAGGGTAGGCACACTCGCAACACAGTTGTTGCGCGTGCATTTTTTTTTTTAAATACTGAAATGTATTTTTCAAGCTCACGTCTCTTTATTTCTCTTTGCCACCGCACCAAGACACGGCGAATTCAGATGCAGAGGAGGCCGGGGTTATCCGACTTTTGCTTACGGGGACGATAATTATTCAAAGAGCAAAGACGGAGCCAAGCTCTCAAAAGCGACGGCGGCGCAGGGCCGAGCGGGGCCGGGGGGCCGGGGCGGGGGCCGAGAGGCGAGGGGGCCGGGCCCAAAGTGCACGATAAATCTGCCTATAAACGAAAACAAGGACAAAGCGACGTTCAAATGTTTACTGCCGGGCCGGGGAATGCAGCACCGGGCGAGGCGTGTCGTCTGCTGCAGAGTCTGCACCCTGCACCCCTGCACCACGGACACCTACCCTATTTATAGGCTGTCAAACTCGTGGAGAAGTCACGGTTAGCGTAAAATTTCCTCCAGTATTTTGGCAAACACGGCACACGGCACAAGTAAGGATGCCCCTACCTATACCCTCAACTGGAAAATCCACAACGTCAGTACAAGAAAACAAAACTAAATGAAAAAACTGAGCATCCTTTTTTGTTTTTTAAAACCAGCATAACTATTCTGTAAATACTTTGAACGGTAGTAAATCGGGTTAGCTTAGAACCAAGGCTCAAACTGAGAACAATGTAGGCTGTTCCAACTTAACATATATTTCTTAAAATATAAATCTATTTTTCTGCCTGCCCAGCCCAGCCCACCTGCCGTGGAGCAGCAGCAGCCTATGGTCCTGCGGCAACCAGGAGCCGGCCGCGGCTGGTCCTGCGGGGCGTCCCACCGGCGCGGCGCCACCGCGGAGCGCGTGCGGCAGCGTGCGGCTCTCGGGACCTTGTTCCGATGTCCGCTTTATTAACACCGTCTATTACGGAGATCAACGGCGCCTCGCTCCGCCCCGTCCCGCCCCGGCCGCGCCGCTACAAGGCTCACGTATTTGAACTAGAGCTCGTGCAAGGAGTATTAGTCATGCGGACGCAGCCCAGCAGCCTACTGGAGCAGGGGCAGCCAGCCACCCTGAGCGAGCAGCCACCGATCTCAAAGCGTTGCAAAGTTTTTCATGTAAAAAGGTTATTCACCAAGAACCCCTCTACCTACGTTTATAGTATACCCTGCAAGTAGTCTCTCTACGCTCACGGCTCCCAGGGCGTTCGGCGTGACAGTGACTGACGGAGAGCGGCACCGGGACCGCGGGGGACGACAAACCCGCCCGACGGGACGGACGACGACGGGGGGAATAAAACGTTACAGCGGAGCGCTCCGCGAAACGTTACAACAAACGACAGGTCCTGTATCGTAACTCGCCGTGCGCGGTGTCGTAGTTAGTACGCGGGACGCGCAGACTGCGCCAAGTAATTGCGCAGTAAAATTTTCACACGGCAATAGGATAATGTATATTCCTCAAGTTTCTTATAAAAACCGTGTTCTTTTCGAAGAGCTGCCGTGGCCAGCTAGGTGGCGTAATTACTTATCACTCAACATACCGGGTGTAACTGTGAATGCGCAGCAGTGTTGCGGGTTTGCCTACCCAATTCGCCCGCAAGGCGCCATGGCCCCTGCAGCCCTGGCGGGTATGCAATCCCGCAACACTGCTGCGCATTCACAGTTACACCCGGTACATCGGCAGGGGTTGTTATTTGAACACGTTGTGTCTAAGGAGGGGGATTACAAAAAGGTGAAAGGTATGCCGTTTTCCACAAAGCATGTCAACTGAGTCATATCGGACTCGAAGGACTAAAGTAAAGTACACCTCACTGCAGATCGGGCTTTGTATTAGGTGCGCTTTTCCTTCGTTGGTTTTCGTCGCTTGCGGTAACTTATTCGGGGGCGAGGTGTTTCACCAAAGAGGGCCTGCTCGCTGGGCCTGGCGCAGCTGGGGCCGACTCGCCCGAGCCTCGCCTTGCCGGTGTAAAAGGCTTTCGATGTCTTTGGTCCGACGGCGTTGGGGCCGGGGCCTCTCCCGCGCGCGTCGCCAAGCGAGCGAAATCAATCATTTCCCTTTTATTTTTATTTTAACTGCCCAGACCCCTACCCCCTCATCCCGTCTACCACCTCGGCTGCAAAATCCGCGAAAATGCCGAGTTATTTCCTGCGCGTGGCTTTTGTTTTCGGCACAGCCCGCTCTTTAGCTGCCGCCACCGCTGCTGCTGCTGTTTTAGAGGGAATTCGGCCTTCTCGCCGAGGCGGCGGCGGCGGCACCCTGCGCTCCGAGAGGTGTGGGGCGGCGTGGCGGGGAGAGGAGTGTACCAGCCAGCTCTTTCTCTCAACCTCTCTCTTTCTCTCTCTCTCCTTGCCTCTCACGTTCTCTCTCTTCCTCTCTCTGCACACTGGCGAGCTCCGCCCCCCTCCGGCCGACGCCTGCGCCGCCGCGCCGGGCGTAACCGTGGCCGCCATCTTGAATTCCAGCATTGATCGGGCGGGGATCGGGAGGGCCTCGGTGCGGCTGGGGGCGGCTCGCGGCATGGCACCAACATGGCCAAAACACCGCGGCACCAACGTATACTCCACCGCGCACAAGGATCCGGTGCGTGCCACTTATTCGTGGTCATGCTGTGTGCGTATACTGCACAAATACTGATGCGTCCGGAGGATGCGATTTGCCGCTGTCCTTCTGACCACTTGCACATTAAGGCGGTAGGTATTCCGCGCACACGCAGGCAGGCCGTCACACTAGAGCCATGTATAGGACTCTACGTCTCACAGGCCGTCACGCAGACTGCAGTTTCTGCGTGCATGAGCGGGTTCGCCCCTAAACTGTGGTCGTGGTGGCGGCTTATGGCCCCGAGCGAGTAGGCAAACCGTCCGCACGAAGGGCATGCAGTGCGGTATCGTATCGTCCACCTGGCATATCACTACGCGGAAACTATGCCTTTTTACACCTGAGTTTTGTACACTGCGAGGTTGTGTGTATATAACGTGGTATACGTCCACAAGGATTCAGTGTACAGGCTTTCTGCGGTCGGGGCAGAACACACCGACGGCGATGAGCTCATCATCGCCACCTCGGTGAGCAGCCCGGCGACGCAGCAGTGCGGGTGAGGCTGATGCACTCGGACAATGCACGAGATGCGTCACTCCCCCGAGTACACGCGTTCGCTGCGTCCGTGCGTGCGTGTGAGTGGTAGAGTGAGAGTGTGCTCTACAGAGCAGGGTAGACCCTTACCCTATCTATACCACAAAATAGAGCAGTGCGCTCACGACAAACAAACTCGCGACAGGAGCGTTATTGGAGCACCTATCTCGCGCTGTCTCTGTCCCCCCTCATAAACAGAGTCGCAATCCACCCCTCCTCCCTCTCCCTCTTTCTCTCTCCATCTCTCTCTTTCTCCTTCGGGGGCCTCAAATGTCATTATCCACTTCAATGAGATGTGTCTATTGTTGTCCATTTTGTAAAGCACTCCCGACGCTCTGCGGCCCGACGCGCGGTGCTGCATCCTCACGCGTCGCTGGGCCCGAGCAGCCCGAGCGAGCAGCGCTGGTGAGGGGGAGGAGGAGGGACAAGGACGGAGTGAGGTACAAGTAAAACTCATGACCGAAGTCGAGGGGTAAACGGATCATTCCTCCACAGCTCGCCCGGTGGGTTAGGGGTTAGGGTTAGGGGGAATCCCGTTCGCGCTCTCTCCCCTCCTCCACCACCCCTTAATTTGACAAAGATATACTGTGCTGCGCCGAATCGGACAGATTCAGACCTCGAGGAACCACTTCGGAACCAGCCAGGCGAAGGGCTGACTTTCCTCTTTTCCGCTCATTTTTCGACCATTTTTGCACAGTTTTGTGTTTTCCAACCTAGCATTATGCAGTAGAAAGTGATATCGCGTAGAGTGATAACTTTTCTGAAACGGCTCGATTTTTTAAAATAAAAGCTGAGTATGGCAAAGAAAGGCGGAGGCGACGGCTTTGGGAAGGCGCGCAGGGCAGAAAGGGCCGTTTGCGAAAACAGAACGGGTCGAGTGGTGATCGCGGACGCGCATGCCCTCTCGGTGGGGAGGAAACCGTCGGGAGGGATGACTGTCGCAATGAAACATGTATGGTTTAGTTTCCGGTCCAGGGATTTTTCATCCCCAACGGAGCCTGCTCCCCGCCGCCCCACCCCCCACTCCCCGGTAATCCTCGTGTAATGTACCAGTAATTTGGTCCGGGGCGCGCGGGTGGTGGACGCTGGGGAGGGTGCTCGGCGGAGCGAGGGGAGAGAGAGAAGGGGAGGTCGAGAAGAAATCATTTTGTTCGAGTTGCTGCTTCTTTGTTTAGTTTTTTCCTGTTTTGGTTGCTCTTTTCCTCCCCCCCTCCGCAACACACAGGAAACAATGACATCAAATATACGTTGTTGTTTTGGTTGTAGTCTAGTCGTCTCGAGGTATTGTCGTAATCTTTTGGGTCCAAATCCACGTTGGGCGGGCGACGGGCGCGATGTTGTGCGGCCGAGGGCGGGGGTGGCCCGCGCGGAGTGCACGGCGGGGACCGCGCCGCGGACAACCCGACCGGAGAGGTGATAGGAGCATAGGGAAGGGCTTGGGCGCGACTCGAAAGTACTTGTTGTTGTCTTATCGCGGCCGATTATGGAAGTCGGCCGACAGCAGTGACGTGACGCTTGCAGCCCGTGACTCCAGCAGCAGGAGGACGGGGGCGCCCACCCCACGTCCACGTGGGGAGCAAAGTTCAAATGAGCCCCCTCTGGGTGGACCTTTCGCTGCCATTGATAAGGGCTGGAGCAGCGCCGTCCGACACCAGTGCACATTGGGCCGGCGCTGCAGCAACACCAGAGCACTGCATCCTCATCGCCATCGCCATCATGAGCAACTACATCTACGAGCTTCGCCTGCTCGCCCGCGCCGAGCGCCAA